GTCCCACTGTTCTCATCATGTACTATACAAACACAATCTAAATAGACTGAACATAAAATACACGGAAGGTAACCACCTTTACTTAATAATGGCAAAAACTACTTGCCTATCCCCATCTCCTACAGGCACAAATTCAAGCTTGATAACTCCTTTTAAATTTTATCACGTTACCTGGAAATATGCTGTTCAAAATTTGTAGCTTATTAGAGTATTTGCGCCACAGTCTGAGCACATAGTCCTCCCAACGAATCATCTTGCCCAGTATTAGCATGACTGGGATAGTGGGAAGTCCAATCAAAAGAAATAAAGGATCAGCTCTCTCCATGACATCAAGACCTTCTTTGTGACCCACAACCTGGTAAATATGTATACAGTTGGCAAACATAGCAAAGGCCACAACTGAACATAGAATATCACTTTTTAAGTCTAGTTTGTTTGGGGCTGCCCACACATTTAAAATTAAAGAAGAAAAAAGAATACTGTTGTACCCTAGCATACTTGGTTTTCCCTTTGCATCCTTAATTGCTTATCAAGGGTAATGCAGGTAAGCTACCAGCCTTATTTTGCAAGTCATAAATCTTGCAGAGAGCTGTAACACAATTCCTTACCATCTCAGGAAAAGTTTCATACGGTTTTGTGTAAGCCTAAACATCTGAAACATCAGAACAGCATGCTTTAAAAATGCACTGAACTTACAATTTCAGCATCATTAATTCTACACTCAGAAACTGATTAGAAACTACTCTTTAAAGGATAAATTGATAGCAAGTATCTCAGGATATTTTAATCAAAGTTTTCTGTTATTTAGGAATACTTTATGCAACACAGATCACAGTATTAAGAAGTATTGCTTCTCTAGTCAATGCAGGAAGAGGTGCATTATTTTCAACTGTAGTGGAAATAGCATTTCTTCAATTGCACCTTATTTTTAAATGTGGCGAGTTCTACGATGTTAAAGGACAGTCATTACCAACATGCCTAAATCTTTCTACTGGCACATAAAAAAATAATCAGACTTCGCAGTTTATAGAATGTCTATGACGTTCACAACAATCCAGGAAGACTAAAACCACTAAGTTATTTTGCTTGTCAGGACACAGGGAAGAAGCTGGGTTAACGCACCACAACAGTAAACTGTACTTTTTAGCCTTGCTTTGAAAACCATTCCCTTTTATTCTTCTAGAATAGGAAGTTATGTTATATACTACAGCCTCAAAAAATAAGCATAACTAATATTGTTGTCACCAAAAGATTATTCCTGAAAAAAAAGAAAAAATATTCAGCATTTGTCTTCCAGCTTCTTCACTATCTTCCACCCAAACTGTGATGTCTGATACTATCCTTTTTTAACTTACAGTCCCTGTCCATTAAAAAAAGCCTATCTTGTCTTCTGCTTTACATTACGGTTTCTGTCTGTTTTCAGTAACCTTACATGATTTGTTACTGACTTAGCTACCTCTGGAGTCACAATGTCAATTCTGTATTAATTTTTCTCCATCTGAAGCTTAACCTTTAAAAATAGCTTTTGTGCTTCTCTGGCCTTTCAACTGAAGGAAATGCAACAGGAAACAAGTTGTACTAAACCTAGCAAATGTGGGGTGGCAAAAGGGGTTGAACATTTCCATCCACTCGCAGTTTAATCACCTCTATTACAAGCAAAAATAATTATTCTCTTATCCAGTGTGCCATCCATATGATTAAACCCCACATTAAATCAGAGGAAAATAGCTAACTCTTCATACCTAGAATTTGACTAGCTGCCTAAACTGTATATTTAGATATGTTCACTTCAAAAGTGAAACAACTGCAGAAAGGAACATTTATTTTTCCATTTGGTTATGTAGTTCTAGAGAAGCTAAAAAGCACACAAGTTCCTACAGGAAAAGGCTCAGTGTAGCAGTGAGCAAGTAGCTAAGGACTGGTACATTTCATGAAGTCTAGTCATAGTATTACACAAGGTTGCAATGTTCCTGTAAGGGCCACACAAAATACCAGATAAAGAAATGGTCAAGTATAACATTCTGTAATACAGAGAACTATCCACTGGACTGGAGGATGTATTGAAACTCATTACACATCACCTATGGAGCCGCTTCACCTTGGCCATACTGGTACCAGGGAGCCTGCACCTGCCCATGTGTGCTCTACTTCAAGCAGTTGTTACATACATTTCTACTATGAACGCACGTACAAACAGAACTAGAACAGAAGCTGGAATGACCTGTAGAACTGAAGGCAGTACCACACAAGTCAAGAAAAAGTAGTGCTATATTCTTTACATGGATAAGGACTAGACTGCGTATTTATGTAACAACTGTGTGGAGGAATACTTACTACCATACAGATTTGTTAATTCTATCTACAACTGAATTAGCATCAGAAATACCTCATGCTTTCAAGCAAAACAAAGGTTATGGACTTGATACAGGAATCAACAACAAATATTAACAGAGGTTCTTCTAGTTGAATTGCCTATGAAAACTCATCTCAGTTGCACAGCAATGAACAATTCTTTCCACAGTTAAGTCTACCACCTGTCAACAGTATTTCTGTATTTAAACAGCAAGCTTACAAGAACAGAAGTAGGAAAGAAAGTATTTCCCCCACTTTCAATTAACCACACAGTCTGAAGTAATTAAAAAACCATACAATAAATTTGCAGAGTTCTGCACTTGTTTATGAATGAATTGCACCATTCAGAGCATGCGTTTTCCTTTATACAATAAAAAGTGGTAGGACTGAAAAATTCACAGTGCCTCAACCCTCTGAATGTTGCCAGCAAAATCTATCTCTAAGTAAAAGAAGAGATTCAGAAAAGTCTCATGTCTTTTCTGAAGAATTAGACTACCTATTATTAGTAGTTAGGTGGTCATAGTACCTTCTCTGTAAGAACAGAAGTGGGTTCACCAGCCTGCCACAGAAAGGGTAGCCACCTAGCATAGTAGGGGATTTTGTTAGCTGCAGACTGAACCACGTTTGAACAAGCATACTTGGGTTTATGCAGTATGATCAGTTAAAAGGAAAAAACTTTCTATGCACCCATCTTGAATTCACTTGTTAACTACCCTGGAAGTGCTGAAAGCAGCAAAAGCGTGTTTTAAGCCAACTAAAGAGAAGTCTTAATTACTTTTTTTCTTTAAAAGACTTGCTGCAAAAGCTGGTAAGAGGAAGAAATGCATGTGTACCTGCATCACTGTCACAGCTCCATATGTAACAGCTGTCCAGTATATAGAGCCCACCATTATTCCAGCTGCAGCAAACGGACATGCCTTTGAGATCAGTCGATCTGCAAGATCCAAAACGTAAACAACTGGACCTATGATAAAGGAAAAGTAAGGTTTCAAGATAGACATACATATATATAAGCATACTGAAGAAAGCTGTCAGCATCTATCACTGATAAGAAGGAAAGAACTTGGCAAAATACAAGTCTGTCATCCCACACATGCTATTTAAATGAGAACATATTATTAAAAAGCTACCAAGCTAAGCTTGTAACTTACTTCTATCTACCTTTTCATTCACCACAATGTCTTTCTGAGAGATTAATATACTGGTTAGAGCACTGACTAATTTACCCACTAAAGCTGACTAGCTTCATTTGTGTTGGATCTGAATTTTAGTATTAGTGGCTTTTTTGTATGTTAATATATTTTAGTTTTTAAAAGGAAAGTTGTAATGGACTTTATGTGCTTACCTTTGATCGCTCCACCTGGGGATTCTGTCACTAAACTATTCTGCTGCTCTACAATAAAATGTAGCACGGTCAAAGTGAAAAATTCTTTTCACTCACTGGAAGAAGCTGCATTCAGTATTAGAGATCAATTTCCTCTCGAATGTTGGAGGAAAACCCCCTCCTAATCAGGCTATTTAGTGCCTTTGACAACAATACATTAATAGTTTCATTGTTTGAAGGACAACTGCACTTTCCAGACTTACACAGAGCAAGACATCACCCTGCTTTGATGAGGTAAACAAGGGCATGCTTGCATCTTTTCTTTGTGATACTGCAAGAGCACCAGCAAAGCAAAGCCAGAAGCTGAAGTACGAAACGTATGTAGTGAATGAAATGAAGTGGAAAATGTCATCACCATGGTCAGATTGCAGATTACTTTTGTATTTGTCAACAAACTCTACACAGACTGTCCTCCTGCAGCTCATATGCATGAATATTATTGTTAGCTTCCTACTACTTTCTCCTACCAAAATCAGTGAAAATATTAAAGTTAAGGGGGCCTACAAGGATGCTGGAGAGGAACTCTTCATTGGGGACTGTAGTGATAGGACAAGGAGTAACATGTTCAAACTTAAACAGGGGAAGTTCAGGTTAGATATAAGGAAGAAGCTCTTTACTGTGAGGGTGGTGAGGCACTGGAATGGGTTGCCCAAGGACGCTGCGAATACGCCATCCCTGGGAGTGTTCAAGGCCAGGGTGGACAGAGCCTTGGGTAACATGGTCTAGTGTGAGGTGTCCCTGCCCATAGCAGGGGGGTTGGAACTTGATGATCTTGAAGTCCTTTCCAACCCTAACTATTCTATGATTCTATGATTTCTGCACGCATTCGTCAATTAATTCTTCACTTATCTTTCTCCACTTAGAATTCTCTCTTAGCTTATATGCAGCCTTAACAGATGTCACTGTAAATATTGCCAAGTTATGTATCAGACTTGTGGGCAGTCCTAAGCAACTTGGGCAGAATATTACTTAATGTACTCTCTACTGTAGCTCTGCTGGAGCATCTAGTTCTTCACCTACTACTCACATACTTCAAATTACCTATCTTTGTGTGCATCTTCTAGCATGCATTCTCTGTTTTAGTAATGAGCTCTAGTTTTAACAGCAGGAAATATCTTCCTATGTAACTTGTAAGACAGTGAACACCTCACCAGCACCCTGCTTCAAATACACCAACAGATACGTATTAGTCCTTAAATTTATTCTCAAGTTGCATATCCTATTATTGGTTAGGTACCAGAATTAAAGGGTTTCTGAAGAAGGAACACTACTCCAAATACAAACTAGAACAAGCAGTTTAACTGTATTAAGTTACGTTTAACTTTCCAGGACAGACTTACAGTGCAGGGATGTTTATTAGTGTCCTGCAATGTTTATTAGCGTGCTGCAAATATCAACAAAGTCATAACTGCAAGTACTAAATGCACAGTAGTTTACATATCTTAACTGCTCCCCCAGAGTCACTGAAAAAGTTGTTCAGTTCTACCATTTTGAAAACTTACATTTGTTCAAAGAAGGTGAAGACAAGAGACTCAAAAACATTCTATTTGGCGAGTCCTAAAGGGCAACTTACAGCTCTAAAGCTTGCCCTCTACATCTTGGCAAGGTGATACCACAACAGCAGAAGTCTAACACTAACTGTACTAACAAATTGCATCTACTCCTAATAATCATTACAAAAAGGAATCTACAGAATTAGGTGTAGAACCTTGAGAAAAGACTAGAAAAACAATTTCAGTTTGGGTTTGTTTGTTTTTTTTTATGAGACCTTCAGGAAGTAAATGTAGCTGTTTGACACACAAAGAGGGAAACAAAACAGTTTTCATTTTGTAAAGGCTGTCATGCTTTAACAGCTTTTTCTGCCAAACTCTATTTCCTATTCATTAAACTGAAATAACCTAAAAGAGATTTCAGTTACTTTCAGAGTGGTAATAGTATTTCTCTATTTAGTAAAAAAAATAATCTCAGAGGAAAACAGCTAGTAAAAATATAGTTACTAGTGATCATTTAAAACTGAGATGCACTGTCAAATTTGAAGTAGAATTATCATTTTAAGAAAAAATGTCACTAGGGAGAGGTTGCTTTGGATGGCAAACATATTCAAAGAACCCCTCTGTTACTTATAAGTTGATATCACTTCAGAAATGTAACTGTAAATAAAAAGCTGTGTAGGGAAAGCCCTTTCCCAGAAATCTGGTACATTAGCGAAGTTTAATGTAAAGCAGTTTCTGAACTGTGATACCTCAGGGAAATTAAAACTGTTACTTCTTCCCTGCTCAGGTAATTTTAGTTCTTGAATGGTATGACTAGTAATGTCTTCAAAAGACAGCTGCTGCTGCAGCAATGATGGAGCTACTGGCAAAACTGCTTGAAAACATCTTCCTCTCCTCACTCTGCTTGGTGTGCCCTTGACTAACTTACAGTTGAGTTTTTCTAGTACCCAAAACCGTTCTACAACACGAGCTACAAAAGGGCAAGACTGTCTCACTAGTTTAAGGCACTATAAGCTCATGACTGATGTTTGATGGACATAAATTCATTTCCCTGCTCTTGTGTACTCTTACTCACTCTGAATTTTTATACCCTTCTCATGCTTAAAAATAGAAAAAGATAGTAATGTGAGGGAAAATATGTCAGAATATTCTTGCATGCAAGAGCTGAACATTCTCATGCAGGAATTTTAGGCCAGTTTCAAAACCTAAGAATATTGGAATTTAGGAATCTTAGCTTTCAAACAAAGGTGCCACACACTGCAGGAACAAATGAAAGTACCTGTTGTTTATATGCATTATCTTCTCCAAACTATAGTTATTTTTTCCCCATTGCCAAAATAAAACACAAATGCAGCTCACATTGCAATTATCATTCAAGGCACAGGTAAGGGTTTTAAGCTTTAAGTTTTGTGGTACATTATAAGTGTCCAGATAGCAAACCAATTTCTTCTCTCAAAGCCAATGCTAAATGTTACAGTTTCATTCCCTCCTTGTAATGGAGATTAAGATTCCCTTCTACTTTATCCTTATAGCAAAGCTGAACTGTGGTTGATACATAAATAACTTGGTAGTAAGTTCCATGCTGGTTTGTGTTTTTTTTTCCAGTATCAACAATACATTAGTCCGTATTTTCTTTCCCACTACTCAGTGTTCTACCATGGAAATACATCATCACTTATACAGAATTTCTTTCACACCCTAATTTTGTCAGCCCTTATACTAATGGAAAAGAGGTCCTGCCCCAAAGAACTGACAGCATGTTGTTTTCAGCTGTTTCATTACAGCGATCAGATGTTTTTAAAAAATCTTTAAGATGCTCCAAATTCCTGCACTCACATGCTGTATCAACATTTTTTTAACAAGCAGTTTTAAACAAAATTTAAGTTTCCATGGCAACATTTCATTTGCTTGTCCTACTTAATATACCCCATAGAACATACAGGCAAATAAGGGATGGAACAGCATCCACTGCTAATTTAGATATGTGCAACATACTGTGCAGTGTCCCACTCAGCTACTCAAGACTAGACTATGGAAGACCATCTCCAACTTTTTTCTTTGACAACTAGAACTACAGCAGTGCCCAGCAACCACAGATATTCTGCCTTTTGAATATAGGGCAATACTGATTCATGAGTAGCTCCAAGAAAGTAAAAATGTATTTTTCAGATAACACAACAGGTTACTCAGGTTCTTTTCTCTGAATTTCCTTTGATGACTTTCTCTGCAATATGAGTTAAGGATGTGTTTATGTTCTAGTAGCTGGCAATTGCCAAGGTAAGTCGCCCTCTGCTCAACTGGGAAAAAAAGAAAACCCAGCACATTAACCATGAATTAACTATAGGTTAATCACTTATAAGAGTTATCAATATAGCTAAGTGGAACACATCCACAAATTTCAGAAGGTATTTAACTAAGCCACCAAATAAAATCTGAGCAGAATGTAAAGCTATTTTTTAATGTATGGAAAAGGGAATAGGCAAGTTCTCAACAGAACTGATGCTCCAAGCATGGAAAAGGAAATAGGAACAATATAAAAAAACAATCTGTTATATTGTGCTTAAAATTTAAATGATGTATCTTACCTAGCTTTGGAAATACTATTAAATATTCTGCATTGCACTGAGGACAAGCAACTCTAGCAGTACTGTTTCCTCTTTGCTTTTCATCCACCCAGCGCTGCAGACAAGTCTGATGAACCCATTTCGTGGAGCCCCTGCACCTGCAGGGTCTCACCCACTCTGCTGTCCGATCATCTTCATCAGTAGCAAAACAAACCCAGCAGCTTCTGTAATGACAAGAAGATGATATTTTTTGCTACTTTTACATGCTTAAAAATAAACCATGTGAAAACGTGTTACTTTCAGAAAACACGTGCCTAGAGGAGATGATGCTTGCTGCTTCATTCTTAATCATCAAAAATGTAAGTAGTTTGTATCACAGTGTTGTTCTGGTACTAACATAATACTACAGACAGCTAAAGAACTGTCTTCAACACATTTTGATTACTAATTTAACTTTTAGATAATCTATGAACTAAAAAAAAAAAAATCACTCAGACTATAGTTCAACTTTTGAATAATTCAACATGTGAAAACTCCATGTATTTCATACTTAAATGACAAAATAACACAAATAATACAAGATATTACAAACGAAACTGTAAATAATTAAATTCATTCTCTTTCTTGGAAAAGAGAAAGTGCTTCATGCAGGTCAGTGGATTTTACAAAGTACCACACTAGAGGAGGAAATTTCTGCACTGAAGAATTTTCTGTATATATAAAATTCAAATATTAATTCTATAAGGAGAAAATACAAGACTATCAGGCTACAGGACCTGACCTGAAGAAAGCACACATCTTGCAATTCCCAGATGATGCGATCTGATGATTAGGCCAGACCCCTTGGTCACCTTACAACATGCAAGAGATACTAAAATACAGTTAGCCCAATAACTTGGGTTTTGCTGTGAAACAATTTCCTAATTCCCATAACGAAGATACTGAAGTTTAGCTAATAAACCAGAATCTAACAAAATAAGGATCTCACTGCAACTACCACCTGGTTTGATGTATTTTTTTTAAGGAAATATTTTACAAACCACTGCAGTGAAAGTTAAACTTTTAAGAGTGTATGGCAACAGCCTCCCTGTAATTTACCTATCAAAACACAATCTAGTTAGAGACTGTACACCAAGCAGCACTATTCTGATGCGTAAGTTCTGTTCTCTTAAATTTAGTAACAACATTAAGATGAAACAGTAAAAGGCGTCTTACGTGTAACCACTAACAGTAACTGGCATAGTAAGAAGCCAAGAAATGCTCTGGCACTGCTAAACAAAACAACATTAAGATTCAAGAATCACAACTTCAGTCTCTGCATGGGGATGTTACAGTGGTTCATCATGCTTTTCCTCTTCCTCCTCTAGCTTCTGATGTTTGCATAAAAAACCTTCTTCCTTGCCTTTTACACTCTTCAATCAAAGTTTTTCCTTATTTCAGCTTCTCAACTACTCCTCATCTCCCCTCTCTTAGATAAACAGAGAAACTGCATTTTAGAAGTCCCCTCCATCTCCTATGGAAGTCAGTACTAAACACTTGTCAGAGATCTTGACAAGTTTATACTTGAACATATACATACTGCACATCTTTCCTTTGCACCCATAAAAAGAAACTCAAACCAAAGAAACAAAAAAAAACCAACAAAAAACAAACACAAAACCAAACAAAAAACTCAGAACAAAAAAAAAAAAGCCACTAAAAACCCATCACACAACAGCTGTAACTAATGAAAGCTCATCAGGCAAAATTTAGAAGAGAATTATATGCACACCCAGGGCCAACTTCCTAGAGCCACTTTCAAGGCAGCAAAGCCACAATTATTCCTTCAAAAGATCAATACTTTCTCCCTAGCATGTCATCTGCAAACAGGTTGGGGGTCTGGTTTGGTTTTGTTTTTAAACCCCCTGATGAGGAAAAAGGGAGGTAAACCTACCGTGGGAAACTTGAATTTTGTCATGCTCAGACTTGAAGTAATGAAAAATATTGCTGTCTCACAGCTTCCTTTAAAGGCCTCACTATTTTGAGTACTGTTTTATTTCTAAACTGAAAAAGTTCCTCTACTGAGTAATAACCATGTTTTCTTTATAGGAATAACTGTGCCTGTAAAATATTTGCCACAGTCCTTTAAAACACTGCATCTTCTGATTTATAGTGGTGGAAGTATACTGAAATTAAGCTGCAAGTATGCAACAGCAACTTATTACTGGCATACTTGTGAAAAGGAACACAATTTGAGATACAGATTTCAAACAAGACTGCAGGAAAAGCAATTTAATATTGAATGACAGGTGTAACAGATATAACTCTCATGCATACGTCCAGTTTTAAGTACAGAAAATATTACAGTAGGTACAGATGAAATTTTTAGTGTTGGTGCTCTAGAACTAGAACAGCATCAGTTGCTCTTAAGAAGACTGACACCTTGAATAAGAACTGCAGTTTCTTCTGTTCATCTTAAAGTCAAAGTAATAGCAAAGTCAGACGTTGCTTATTTCTGTCCTTCCCCACAACATCTGTTCAAATCAGAATGGTCATGTTATGCATTCCTGTAACACCATCCCTCTTCTCACCCCCATATTCCTGCTATGCACCTGTAGCAGTCTAAATGAAAGGACACATTAACCTTCCTAAGCAGGAGGAGGAGGAAAGACAGCCAAGCCACAAGTTAGCAGAATGTAGATAAAAATGCTGAGACCACCACAAAGATTTGAAAGTATTACAGAGTATGGCAGACATTTTGATTGACCACACTTAGTATCAAGGCACTCTTAAGGAACACAAGTTCTTGCAATATTTATTAAAATTCTGTTCTCTTTTTTCAAGCATTCAAGGCCAGGCTGGACGGGGCTTTGAGCAACCTGGTCTAGTGGAAGGTGTCCCTGCCATGGCAGGAAGGCTGGAACTAGATCATCTTTAAGGTCCCTTGCAACACAAACCATTTTATAATTCACACCAAGAAACCCCAAATTCACTGTAAGAACAAACAGCACTACTGATAATTGTTTATCTTTGATAATTTGTTTTCCTGCATTAAAGGTAAACATCCAGTCATTCCACATCCCAACTAGCTCTATTGTGAAGCCTTTAGTTGGAAAATAAAAGTCCAAGTTACAAATCTAGAGCAATTCCTGGTTCCCTGCATGGTACAGAACTGCTCTAGCTTTGTGACTCCAGTTTTTTATTTTTCAAGTAAAGGCTTCACAATAGAGCTAGTTAGGCCTGTGGGAGCCAGTAAGGTCAGATGCCACCACACCACATAAGTCTAAAGCTTATTCAAATAACAACAGATTTAAGCATGAGCATAATCTTGCTGCACAGCAATTTTAATTAGTGTTTTTTTTCCCCCATGTAACCTCCATGGATTAAATTCCATTCAAGTTTTCTGTTAAGGTTAGTAAGTCAAGAAAAATACGCATCTTTAACTGCTTCATCCGATTTTTTGCCAGGTATTCATATCTGAAAACCTGAAAGACCCATGAAAAAAAATAACAAAAACCTTTTCAAACTTAAACCTTTATCAAGTCATGAATAATGAACAATAAATTCCTTGTAGTCTGTCATCAGCTTTATCTCTTTCCGTTGACAGCAGCTGTAGCAGAAAGGGCTAAATAAAACCATTTCAAAACAAGTATCTTGGCTCTTGCCAGATTTTCCATCTTCTTGTACTGAATAAAATATGACCTTGATTCTTACCACTGAATCAGACTGCTGCTCAGATAACCTGAAATAGAAAAGGCTGACAAGGTGGAACAAAGCATTGTTTCTGATAGAAACTCAAACCTTTTTCCTTGATGACTTTCTGCAGAGCCAAATCAATAACACTAATGTATTTTTCCACGCTTCCTTGGCTGGGAAAAAAAAAAAAAATCATCCAAACAAAACATACACAAAACCCAGACCAATATCATTATTTCGGCTTTGAATATAGGGTTACAAATGCCTTCTCAATTCAGTTCCCCAGCAGCTAGCTTTTAGCAAGACCTAACCCTTACCATGGTAAATGCAAATTTGAAC